AATTTGTGCAATAATTAATTTTTCATGAAAAATTTTGAAAAATATCAGAGATAGTTGATGAAATTTTTATTCAATAAATAACTATAATATAATATAGTGATAAATTGATAAGTTACATCGAAGATAAGAATTATGAAAATAATTATTTGAAATTTAGCTTTATAAAATTGTATATACATGAAAAACAATAATTATTTAAACATTTCTTGAGAAAAGGTTAACAAGTCTTTAGGATAAACATAATAAATATAAAATTCTTCTTAGAGTAGATTTACTCAATAAAGGTATATCAATAAGGTATATAAAAGTTTGCAGAAGATCAATAACGATTCTCTCTTCCAGACTTCTTTCTCGAGATTCAATAACAACGTTACGACATTTTTATCTCCTCACGAAGATTGATTTTCTTACTTTTCTATTTCCTCAAGAACTATTGAACTTTCCTTCAAAAGGATAGAATATAATTGATATTTAAGCCTACTTAAAAAAAAAAAAAAAAATATCTACAAACTCGGTGCAACTAAAAATTCAGTTTCTCAGTTTTCTCTCTCTCTCTCTCTTTCACGAACCAAGGTTTGAACCGATACCAGTCAAGGTTTCTTTCTTTCGACCACATCGTAAAAATTCCCGATAAATTAGCTGAACACGCTCGAGGAGGATTGTGCAAGCATATAAATACCGCTCATAAGTATTTCAATATTTTTAACGATTTAAAATAAATAACTTAATAGTAAAGCAATATTTCCAAAGTGTGCATGTTTATGAATAAAAAAATAAACTCGTAATTTATTAGTTAATAATTCTTATAGATGAATTGATTTTTCGTAATCTCATCAAAAATACAATCATACTTTGAATATTTCATTAATTACAATAATATACAATTTTTCTTTTCATTTAAAAACTAATTTTCAAATTTGATATATATATATTCGATACTCGTAAGAAACAAAATTTTACTCTTTCTTTTCAACTCATTTTTACACGTAAAGTGATCCTCTGCCCTCTTGTATCATAATATTCATACGAAAATACGTAATTCGTTCAATTGAACGCTAGTAAAATTTCCTTACAATATAAATCAAATTCCATTCCACGATAAATTCTTTATTTACAAACGTATGAACGATCCACGCTACCGAATATTCCATCGTATTCCAAAGCGTTGAAAAATATTTTGAAGCATCGATGTACAAAAGACGTGCGAGGTTTCGTAGTATAATAATTTCGATCCGTCCTTCTTCGCCACGCTCTCGTACGCGTCCACTGGTAAGACACTGATGGCCGTATTTGCAAGAGGTGAACGCGTGGTGGAGATTTGTATTCTCGAGAGCTCGAACCCTGAGTCCCTTGATTTAGTGCTAATAAATATTCATTGGCGTACTTGAAACTGACCTCAGAGAATTGAACGGCATTATCGTGTGTACTCTTCGAAGATTAACCACGATTATTCGCTGCTCGCTCTATGTACAGACCGCTTTATTAAACCGTTTAAACAATATACCGGTAAATGGGCAATTTGTTGTGGCACGATGGTAACAGTAATAACAATAACGTTACTTATTCGAAAAGGATTCTTCGATCGTGTAAATTATCGTTTATCAATAATAAGAGTTTTGATTGTTGATCGTTGTCGATCGACGATTATCACTGTGGTGATCAATTTGGAATAATTGTGAGCTCGATGTGATTGGAAGATTGATACGTACAGAAGGATATTAGATTGTTCGATATTAAGATATGTATGAGAAAATTTTTATAGGAATATTGAAATTCGTAATTTAAAAAGAAACTAAGATTATTATAAATTATCCATACGCGTTGAGATATTAAAATTTCTTTGAGTTAAGATATTTATTCGATACTGTAATATTTATTCATAAATTTACGTGAAAATTTATGGATCATTTAGATTTATATTTATTATTATATTTATTATATTTATTATATTTATATTATATTATTATTATTATTTAATTATATTTGTTTTATAAAAATGATTTTATCAATATTTTTCTCGATAGCAAAAGACATTAAATAAATAATATAATTTTTAAAAGTCTATAACTGTTGAATATAAGAAGTTGAAAATAAACATAATGTTAAAACATATAAATAAAATTCAATCATAATTGTAAAACAATGTAAAAACAATGTAAAAGTCGAATGTATTTTTATTAACTCCGTTTGATATTTTTCAAAATTGAAAAGCAACTGTTTCAGACTTTATCCAAGTGTTCCAATTATCAAAATTTAAATTGTTTTTTTTGAAAATACCGTTGTTACCACGATACATATACACAAGAAAACTATTTTATTCAAACCAATCGATCAATAATTTTTCTCAAAACAGACAGAATAAAATAGGAAAAAAAATTGCAATTCCTCAAATTTGCACAATACAATTTCCAAACAAATTTGAATTATATTTATTCGTTGCTTAATAAGGAAGGAAAAATTGGAAACAGAAGGAAAAATGTTAGGACATCGTTGGTGGCAGATACTTATCTGTTATTGCAATCAGAGTGCAAGGTAACCGTAGAAGAAATCGTTCTCTGCAAAACGAGCTGTCGATAGCAGTGATCTAAGATCGTTATGCCCGTGGCTTTTGTCGTTGGTTCTTCTTCTGATCTACTTTTATCTAGTTGGATCCTTTTCTTGCCCTGCGTCGATTATCTCTGGACAACCGTGTCCAGCATGCTTCGAACGACTTTGAAAAACTCAGGATAATAGTTTCTTTTCAACCTTTCTTTTCATTTTAACTCTCTTCTTGTTGTTCCAAGTTGTTTACGATTCAATATGTGGCGTTAAATTAATTTATTAGTTTGTTAAAGCGTTATTGACTAGTATTTTATAGAATGTATAAAATTTCTATTTAACGTTACGCTTAATATTTTATTTAGAATATGTTGTCGTTGCAAATTGTTTGGAATTTAGTATGTAATATAACTGATATTAATTTTTCCATATTTTACCTTGCAATATCCTTTTCGAAAATCAAATAATATCATTCTTCCTCGTAAAATTTCTCATAAATTTTAACGATATTTCATCATCATCATTTTATTTCAAAATTATTTTTCATATTCTTTAAACATAATTCGTAATTAAATCTTCGTTGTTCCAGGATACATTCAATTTCATTATTACATCTGAACAATTTTCATAAAACTCTTATATATATATATATACCTTTTGTTCGACATCTAATTACGCGCATAGATTAAGAGTAGATAGACATTCGAAAATACAGCATCGCAAGATTATTTCCTGGACAGCTTAATATTAATCGTGCCAATTACAGTGAAAAAAGTTCGTTCGAAAAAAATTAAAATCGAGAGGAGAGAGATGTAGAGAGAAAGAGAGAGAGCAAATCGGCGAGCAATTTGTCGAGATCGATTGTACGCGACGATAAGCGAGCGTCCAGAATCGCAAGGACGACTCTCAAAGATGAAAAGATTAAAAAGTGGAACGATGGTTCGAGGACGGTTTTGCAAACGAGCCGTTTCAGACGTGTTCCAAGGGTATACCATCGTTTCATCGTGGAAGTGAAACCGTACGGGACACGTGTATACCGATCACGATTAAGATACCGGTGTTGCTCCTCGACCAATTCGTCGGTCGTTCCGAAAAAGAATCGTGTACAGTGAAATTTCTAGATATTATATATGTTCTAAAGAGAGTTGAATTCGATTTCTGTTATTATAAGAAATAGAATTTCTTTGAAGATACGATTGAAGTATTTATTTATTTGGACGATTGTTTTTATTGAAATTTGATCGACTTTTGATTTCAATATTGATATTCCTCATTTGTGAAAAATTAGTTAATAATAGCGATAGAATAGAAAGAAAAAAGAGATTTTTTTATGCTTTTAGGGAAATAAATTTAGAACAAATAAATATAATTCGTATTTGATAGATGCAACATTTAAAATTCTTTCTGTTAATTGTTCATAAATCATGCATTTTTATTAAGGAAATTAAAAAGTTTCAAGATATTTAAAGAAAAAGATATTATCAATATTTTAAAATTCGTAAATGCTTTCGGATGGTAAAAAGGAATATCAACCTCGTTTTATCCGACTATCCTGCCTTCCGGACATTTTGCATGACTGGTGAAGGAAATATCGCCGATATATATTCGAGAACCAATCCCAAATTATGAAAGCAGACGTACAAATATCGAAACCTATCCCAGAGTCCCATACGAAGCTAACCGCAAAAGGCCAGTCTTGCTTTCCTTCTCGTGCAATTCGGTTCGTCGCATTCTGTGTTGCGTCAAACTACACTTATATATCTGTATATCCTTCATAAATTTTATAATATTCAAGTGTTTTAACGCACAAGGTTCGTAATTTATCACTCTCTGCTCCAAATTTAATACCATAAATCATATTTCTTTCGAAGTCGGATAAACAATTTATTTATAAAATTTATAAAAATTTCCAATCTGTTCTGCGTTCAATTTACAAATCGGTATATCCGATTTCTTTTTTTTTTATTAAGTCGAATACAATATTCGCGATGTGTTAAATAGGGCAAAATCATAAATCACGTGGAAATTAAATTTTTAAGAAAAGAGTAGTGCTTCATTCGTGTATTTTTACTCTCTGCCAAATTTTGAATATTGGCTTCGCTCTAATTTAATTAAATGAATAATATATTGAATTAACTTACTAACCAGCTAATTTAAAATAACGCGAAATTATAGCATTTTTATCGATTGGACTTTGATTCTCCCTTTCACATTCTTTTAATTTTTATCTCTGTAACTATACTATAAATAAGAATCCTCTTCTCTCACGAATTCATAGATGAAAAAGATTCAAATTTATATCTCTCATTCCTCGATTTCAATCTCAAACGATCAACCTCTTTATTATACCCTTCCATAATACCCAGATGCGTTCCCCAAAATCGCTTAGCTCGAATTTCGAAAATGCGAAATTAGTGACTGTACCGTTGTTGAACCGAAGAATGGAATATGTTTTTCAGGGAGGGCGAGGGTGGCGGCGGTGGCGGCCGTTCCGTGATCAGCCCTGGTGGGGGTGGAGGAGGAGGTGGAGGTCGGCGGGCACCGAGTCTACGGCTGGTGAACGGAAGAGCGACTACGGGGGTCAGTTTGCACACCAGCAGCACAGAATCCGTTCGTTCACCCCATCACCACCTCGGCCAGCAACAGGGCGGCAATAATAACAATAACAACAACAACAACAACAACAACCATAACAACAACAATAACTGCCACGCCGGTAATAACCCCGCCGCGAACAATCATCCACGGCTTAACAAAGATGACAGCATCAAGATCAGCATCGAGAACACAAACACTTGCACGGACAGCCTCGTCACTGCTCTAGACGACGAGACATTGCTCATCACCGATTTCGTGGCCGACACAGGTGAGTAGTTTCCATTTTTTTTTTTTAATTCCTTTGTTCTTTTTTTTTTTCTTCCTTCATTCTTAGCAAAACAAAATCGAATTATATAAAAATAATTTTAATAGTTAATTAATTTAAATAGTTAATAAAATAATAGTTATATTAAAAAATTAATAATTATTCTGTCGAATAATTTTATTCATTTAGATGTTTATCATTCAATTTCGAAAATGTAAAAGTGCCTTCGTGTTCGAGAATGGTTTTTATAGAAAATATAGGAATTTGAAATTCGCGCTAAAATAGATCGATCATGTGAAATGTGGCTAGTTAGGAATATATCATATATTTCGTTATTAATTTAAGAAAAAGACATTTTTTTTAACGAGAAAATAATATCAAGACACTTTTAATAATTAAAAATATAGAAAGATGAAACAATATGAAATATTTTAATTGAATAAAAGCGATATTTTATTTATTTTGTCGCAGGAATTAGATTTAAAATTTTGATAAAATATATAGAATTTCAAGAAAGTACGCTTGTCGTTTTGTCCACCGTTCAATTTACACTTGAATCTTATCCCACCGGAAATTTAATTGCGCAGCGTGTGTCATATGTTCTTCATATTTCACGCGAGATTTGTGACACGTTTTGTGGAAAACCTAGAAGTCTTTTGTATAATCTGAACAACTTTATCTCATAAAATAACTACTCTGAAAAAATTACCTTGATTAACTTTCACGAATGCACAGATTAGGTTTTCAATATTTCGAAACTTTCGAAATCAGCTCTTGCAAATTTTTAATACGAAACACTTTTCAAAAAAAAAAAAAAATCAACAATTACTCATTTCGCTTATTTTAACTTTCGCTGATTTTTTACTCAGAAAGGAATAATCGAGATCGAAAGGAAATTTTTAAAAGATCCGATCTATTTACAGAAAGGAAGAAAAAGCAAGAGTGGAGTGTAATTACACTTAAACACAGACACCCACGCTCTTCCACTTACATATCATGCTCATCTAATGCAACATAGAATTAAACGCACGCGCACGCGCACAAATCCATCCGTGAATTATTACATCTCCAACGACGCGTCATCGAAACAGTTTAACCTTTTCTTTTTTGCCACACCTATAAAACAACGTTTCGTTATATTTCCAAGGTGATGGTAAGTCGAAAGAATTAATCGTGAGGATGTTCCAATTATGATACTCCAATTAAGTGTTAAAAAGATGAGGTAACATTTCGAAATAGAGTCGGAAACTGAAAAGTCGAATTCAATCTTTGCTGTTCTCCTTCGTAAATTAGAGACTTCGTTAATTCACGGTAATTAAGAAGGATAATTTTTGTATTAAAGGCGTCCTTCTTAAGCCTAGATAATTAATTTTTTTTCTGCAGAAATTTTTAAAATTTATTTTTATCTGTTCGAAATTTGTCAATGATACTTTGAAATTAATAACTACAAAGATTTGTATAAATTTCAATTTAAAACTGGATAAAACAAAATATATAAAATGATTCGAACGAAAGCCGTAGATGCAGTTAGTTAAAAAATGGTAAAGAAAAGAGTTCAACGTATGGTTCAGAGAGGTTCAGCTTTTTAGAGGATCGTATTTTTCTCGCGAGTGAAACATATGCATTATGCACTGTTCCATGGAATAATCTTCAGTAAAAATGTGCATATTTCTTGAATCCTCGTTATTTTTAACCTTTTTTGAATACTTGTATCATCAATAATTAGAATAAATATAAATATTCTTAATATTCCAATATTTTTCAACATTTTTAATTCATTCAACACTTTTAATATATCATAAATATATCATAAATATAATACTTTATCAAAATTGATTATTTATTTTGTTATCTGTTAAAATATAACTGTTTAAAAAATAAATTTCAAAAATCGCTCATTAATTGTATACTTTTCTCCAAACATTTCTTTTTAAACACAATCAGAAAAGGAATACAAATTATCCTATTTGCCTTATCTTATCTGCCCATGCATACATATTTAACGAAGAGCAGAATATTTAAAATTTTTACTTTCTAATCAGATCTTTAAATTTGCTTACGCAAATATATTGTATATATCGATAGTCAAAGATGAAAGAGAAAATGATATTTGAAAACGTGAAAACGGAATCCATACGAATGGATACAATAAAGATTTTTCAGTTGTATATGGGAAACCCCTAAATGAGAGTCATGAATTTCAAGTTATTGGCACACGTGTCCACGTGTAAATATAGAGCTTCGTAAGAATGCTCGTTGAATAAGCCGTTTGTTCGTCGACAAATGCACGTAACGAGCCCATTATCGGTTGTTGCAATATAGAAAAGCAATCGGGCCGGCCGCACATTTAGTTGGCGTGTTTACGACCATCTGACAACCGACCGCCATTGAAAAGAAACGAAATTTTTACCTTCGGTTATATTAATACGACTCTTAACCTTCCTTTCATTTAAAAGAGTTGAGTCTTTTTTGTCCATTTCTTTTTTTAGAATTTTTTTAACTACTATATAAAAAGTAATTTTCTCTTTTAATTTAGATGGAAATTTTATCTTTTAACAGCAAAAGCGAAATTTAGAATTTGAAAGTTTTATATTTGAAAATATTATATTTTGAATTATATTTTGAAAATTAATTTTTTTAAAAAAGAATTAAAAAGTTTTGGGATATTTTTCATGTGAATAAATAAAGAAATTTGTAAGTAACGAACGAATGAAAAGGGACAAAGAAAATAGTAAAATTTTTAATAACAGAAGAGTAAAGGATTGTAAAAATGAAAAGAATCTTGTCTTATTTTATACATAATTTTTTTTATCTTGAGACACTGAAATTATTATGCATATACTATATTCTTGCAAATAAGTTTTTTTTTATATCATCGATATTTAAAAAAATAAGCAACAAAGAAAGAAATAATATTTTTATTGTTTTATATAAAAGTAAGATATTCTGTCCTGAATTATTTTACATAAAAGAAAGATATATAAAAGAAATGTTGCAAAGTATATGTTAAAAAGTGTAATTTTTTCTCATAATTCTCATAATACTTTCTTCATAATATTCGAAAGATACATCATCTTCGTAGATTGCACAGACAATGTTAATAGAAATAAATAAGATATTTTTATGCAAATTTTTTTTAACAGAAATAAATACGATAAAAGAAGTTTGTTATAATACTTTGTCACATTATGATAATTGATTAATCTAATAAATATAAAAATGACGCGAAAACATAAAGTTCATTAATAAACGAAAAGATGTTGAATAAAAATATTATTAAGTCACATACTGCTTATTTTTCTTTTTTATATTGGAATTTGTTTCATAAGAGGCGATTAACATTACTGGTTTTCATCTACGCCTCATTAGTGAAAATTTTCCAGATTTCAATGAATTTAAAATGAATTTAAAATCTTAATGCGTGAATGACGCAATTATTCGTTTCCAGTATCTAAATTTCCTTTTTTTTTTCTTATATTTTCAAATTTATATTAACCTTTTGTTCATTGTAGTTTTAATTAATTAATAAAAATATAAATATTGGATGATTCTGTCAAAGGAAGAAAATAAAAAGATATTCCTCATTTGTTAAAATGAACATTAATCTTGAAATTAATAAAATTGACAGAGCAAATATTAGTATATTAATGTTTCTCTCTGCTAAAGAGAATATGTTTAATTTAATAAAATTATACTATATTTGTAAAAAGGTTGATATCGAAGTAATTAATGGAGTTATAATAGAGAAACATGAAATGTGCTTTCCATTGATAATTAAAACAGATTAACGAAGAGAAATGAAATTAAAATGATTATAATGAGAATTATAAATATTTATAACGAAATTTCAGTTTTCAATTTTTTAATTATTGTAAAATCATCGAGTCGTTAAAATTCTAAAAATTTTCAAACTTTCTTTCAAAATTTAAACAATTTTTAAAATTTTTCATATTTGAGTATTTTTAATATTTTTAAAAATCAACAAAACGCATAAAATATTTCATTATATAAAATCGACGTAGACAACTAAATTCTTCGTTCGTCAAACTTGAATCAACATTAAACGATTAAAATAAAATTAAAATATCAAGAAACATTATTCATCTTGTCTATCAAACTTGTAAACATACTCTTTCCGCGAAATCGGTATTCTACATATTTATTCATGGAATATTCAATTCCTACAATTAAGAAATATGAATTATTCACTTATCGTCTTTTTATCATTTACATATGTAACCAAGAATAATATACGATACATACAAGTATATTATACATAATTAAAGATTATAAAAACTCAAATTAAATTAAACGTTACGAAAATTAATTTAAATTAAACGCGATAAAAGTGGTACAGTAAGAAATGATTTCCTTTGATATCATCTCAAATGAAATAATTTGTCTTATCAAATAAATTATCCGTAGCAAAATCCTACAATCCTACAAAAATACCGGAAAAAGGTTATTTTATTAAATATTGGAATATCGGGTTGAAGTCGTTCCATTTACACTACTAATTTTTTACAGCTGACGTTTTTCCTAAATTTCTTTTTTTTAATGAAAATTTTGCTGAAATCAAATCTAACTCATCTCACCAGTTAAATTCAAAAATTTACCTGAAGTGATTTTAAATTATTTTATTTTTAACTTTGCATAAATTATTATGTTTAAAACTTTTCAACGCATCTTTTTTCTTCATTTCAATCAATCGATAATCTTTACTTTTAACATAAATAATATTGGATAACATTGTGAGATTAATCATAAACATTCTTTCTTAAACAATGATGATATAGTTGTTGTTTATAGGATTGATCAATACGATATTTAATGTCTATCAGTTATATTATTTGAAATTGGACTATAACCTAATCTTTGTCGTATAAAGAATACGTTAATACGATCGCTATTTAATAGCGTGATGGTAATTCGACAATAACAATTATTTACCATCGAATTTTAAATTAATTACGTGCATATATTTTTAAGCGGATCGAAGACGA